AGTAAATCTATTATATTCTTCAGTATTTTGATCGAACTATTTCTTCTTACTTTCTTTAAATTTTCATATAGAATATGACGACTGAGTGTATCCGTCTGTTTATTGATTCCATACATTAAGGTATTTCTTTTTTATTTTGTTCATTTTCATATATAGTATAGAACTGAGTAAATCTATTATATGCTTCAGCATTTTCGTTGAGCTGCTTCTTTTCTTTCTTTACATTTTCATATATAATATGACAACGAGCCATTTCCTTCTTTTACTTCCGATTTACATTCAGCTATTCCTTTTTTTTTCTTTCGTTCGTTCTCATCTATAACATGAAACAAAGTCGATCTGTACTATTCTTAAGGATGTTGATTCAGCTGTTTCTTTTTTTGTTTCATTCATTTTCATATATAAGATAAAACGAACTCATTCTATCTTATTATTCAAGATTTTGATTCAGCTATCTCAGTATTTTTCCTTCGTTTTCATATATAACATGAAATCGAGCAAATCGATTGCATTATTCGAGATTGATTCAACTATTCCTTTTTTTCACTTTCATATGTAATATGAAAACGAGTAAATCGATTTTATTATTCAGCTATTTCTTTTCTTCCATTCATTTTTGTATTTAGTACGAAGATAAATAAATTTATTTATTTGTTTCAAGTATTGAATAAACAAGCCGGTTCTTTTTCATTGATATTATAGTACTACATATTAAATAAAATATCTAGTTGTGTATGTATCTATATATCTATTTGATTATATATATATATATATTCATATGAATATAATTTATAATTTATTTGAACTATCAAACAAAATATTCTTGGTAATTTTATATCAATCATAAATTTTGTGTATGTTTTCTTCTATTAAAAATAGAAATACAATCATGTAAAATTTTATGAAAAAATGGAAAATAATACTGATGATTATCTTATGTTATACATATATATATATATATTATTTCATAATATGATATTCCCTCGACTGAAAGGAGGGTGATACGAAAAAAACTTAAATGCGTTTGTCTGTGACAGGGTCAAAAGAACATCGAAAATTAATATCTCGGAAAAGACATTTCTAGAGGTTTTTTGATGCGGAGAGTTCGAATATGAGGACTATTGGGTGACCATGGTAGCAGGGTGGGTAGGAGTGGGTGAGAGGCCAAAAGAACATCGAAAATTAATTTTTTGAAAAAGTCATTTTCCGAGGTATTTCGATGCGGGAAGTTCTAATCTGAGGTCGATTAGGTGACCATGGGGTAGGAGGTGGGTGTGTGCGGATGAATGGTCAAAAAAACATCGAAAATCAATTTCTCGCGGTTTTCATTCGTTTTTCCAGTAAATGTGCAGAAAATGCATTTGTGCGATAAAGGGCTAAGCGAGTTCTCGGCCGAGCGTTAGTTATTGACCAGTCACAAGCTGGGGTTCATAAAATTGGCCAATCAGAACTCATGAGTAAAGAAACTAGGATTAAATCTCGAGAGTGTGGTTATGGGTGTGGGTGATAGGGTGGGTTGGTTCCGGGTTTGGTTGATGGTGTGGAAAGGTGGATGAGGATGTAGAATGGCAAAATAATCACACCCACATCAACTAACACCACACACCCTTGAAATGCGTTGTACGAAGTGGTGAGACTGTTTTCTTTCGTCGACTGTAAGGAAGATGTATGAAAAAATAGTTTGTCTACCTCTCTGGAGAGGCGAAAGGAACGATGGTGTCAACAAAACACATTCAGCCAAAAAACCTTTGAAAACCATAATCGTAAGTGTTCTGGAGCGTGGAATCCGATGACACCCTTGGTTTCTCGATATGCATCCCTCGCCAACTATATGGGAAAGTAAACCCAGAGAGTGGCTACTCTTAAATGATCATGTAATAATAATAGATGAGTGACGCATAGAGTGAAAAGCAGTTGGGATCATCGATTAGCAGCGGTGAGTCTGAAGTGGCGGACCGAAGGGACGCCGACCACCGACGAGCCGCTGCGGATATAACACTGTTCATGGGTCTGTTCGTGTATGGTCTAGAAAAATGTTTGGTGGATTCATCGAGACACACGGCACAATGCTGAAACTTGAGAGATATTTCAACAAACTATGGTATGATGAGTCAAAAGAGTGCATCTCCATAATTTGTTTTTGGAAGTATACTAGTCGCAATCAGTCGAGGGTCTAGTGAGTCGCTCTGACGCGCGTTACTTGTTTTTTAATGCTTAGAAAATTGATTGTTTTTAGAATTCTTAATAAATAGAAAGTATTTTTGTTTCTTTGAAAGAAATACTAAAGGAGACTTTTTATTCAAATGTAATTTTCTGAATCATAATAAAATTCTTTTCATTCACTAAATGCTTTGTTAGTATGATATTTTTGATAGAAAAATCAAATGTATGTTTATGCAATGAATTTTTTTTTGAACAATTGCAATATGATTTTGTATAAATTTATAACGATAATCTTCATTAAAGTGATAAATCATTTCATTGCTTTTTCCTTTTACTGAAATTAATTAGTACACGCTTTCATTATTTGTGGAAACATAACTGTAAACATAAGAAAATCTCCATTTGCAAGACCATATTCAGTCAATCGTAAACGATCAATACTTCCACCTAAAAATCGTTCATTTATCTCCGATTGATCTTCAGAGGGTTCATCACGTAGTAAATCAGGTTTATTCCATACCATCAGTATTTTACATTTCCCATCTTTACTTGGAAATGGCATTCCCATATGTTCAATTAAATATCGTTTAAGTATGGAAATTGTATGATCTTTATGTGCTTCTACTGTTGCTGGAAAATCAGTAGCTGCATGTCGTACTCTAAATGTTATTCGTTTGTCTAAAGATTGATCCATATCTAGATCAAGTGGAATACGTATGATTGGTTCAGAACCCATACACGCTGGGAATTGAATTCGGGTTGGATCAGGTGGATCGTTATCGGGAATATTATTCATATTTTGACCATCAGTTTTAATTGCTGTATTTCGGAAGATATTACCCATGTTGAAGTAAAAAATGAATGACAACATGACATCATGTAAGAAAAAAAATGCATACGTGGCAAATAAGTCACGTTTTTGTTCTGTTTTGTTCTGTTCTGTTCTGTTGCTTTTTTTTCTCAATGATATTCTTTGACCAGTATTGATATATG